GTAGTTAGACAGGACACTGGCAAGCTTTCCCAAGAAACGAAGAACCTAATTAAGAAGCGTCAAATCATGAAAGTGTCAAGTACAACAGACAAAATAGAACTGGCAGAGCTTTCGAAGTTGATTAATAGACGTAAGGTATGCGATGTAAGAAGGTATAACATGGAGAGAATTCAACACGCTCTGAAAAACGGAGGAAGTGTCAAAGCATTGAAGAGGAAACTTGGGATAGGCAAAAGTCGGATGTATGCACTAAGGGACAAAGAAGGCAAAATAACTACCAATATGGATAGGATAGTTAAAATAGCGGAGGAGTTTTACAGAGATCTGTACAGTAGCCGAGACAACCACGACCCTAATACTATAAGAACTAGCAGTAACCCAGATTACACCCCACCAGTAATGATAGAAGTCAGAAAAGCTTTGGAGAGCATGCAAAGGGGCAAAGCTGCTGGTGAGGATCAGGTAACATCAGATTTGCTGAAAGATGGAGGACAGATTGTGTTAGAAAAACTAGCCACCCTGTTTACGAGGTGTCTCCTGACGGGAAGAGTACCAGAGTCTTGGAAGAACGCTAACATCATCTTAATACATAAGAAAGGAGATGACAAGGACTTGAAGAATTACAGGCCGATCAGCTTGCTCTCTGTAGTATACAAGCTATTTACAAAGGTAATTGCTAACAGAGTAAAGAAAACATTAGAATTCAATCAACCAAAGGAACAAGCAGGATTTCGAACAGGCTACTCAACAATTGACCACATTCATACTATCAATCAGGTAATAGAGAAATGCTCAGAGTATAACCAACCACTATACATAGCCTTCATAGATTACGAGAAGGCGTTTGATTCAGTAGAAATATCAGCCGTCATGCAAACACTGCGGAATCAGGGCGTAGATGAAGTATATATAAACATTCTGGAAGAAATCTACAGGGGATCAACTGCTACCATAGTGCTTCATAAAGAAAGCAACAGAATACCAATCAAGAAGGGTGTAAGGCAGGGGGACACAATTTCCCCAATGCTATTTACCGCGTGCTTACACGAGGTTTTCAGAAGCCCAGAATGGGAGCAGTTAGGGATAAGAGTCAATGGAGAATACCTTAGTAACCTGCGCTTCGCCGATGACATTGCATTGCTGAGTAACTCGGGGGACGAATTGCAACTCATGATTACGGAGTTAGACAAGGAGAGCAGAAAGGTGGGTCTTAAAATTAATCTGCAGAAAACGAAAGTAATGTACAACAACCTCGGCAAGGAGCAGCGCTTCGAGATAGGTAATAGTGCACTTGAAGTTGTAAAAGACTATGTCTACTTAGGGCAGGTAATAACCGCAGAGCCGAACCACGAGATTGAAGTAACTAGAAGAATAAGAATGGGGTGGAGCACATTCGGCAAGCACTCTCAAATTATGACAGGTAGATTGCCACTATCCCTCAAGAGGAAGGTCTATAACAGCTGTATCTTGCCGGTACTTAGCTACGGAGCAGAAACCTGGAGACTTACAAAGAGGGTTCAGCTTAAATTGAGGACGACGCAGCGAGCAATGGAAAGAAAAATGGTAGGTGTAACCTTAAGAGACAAGAAGAGAGCAGAGTGGATTAGGGAACAAACGGGGGTTAAGGATATCATAGCTGAAATCAAGATGAAGAAATGGACATGGGCAGGGCATGTAGCGCGTAGACAGGATAACCGCTGGTCATTAAGGGTAACTGACTGGATTCCCAGAGAAGGGAAGCGGGTTAGGGGGAGACAGAAGGTTAGGTGGGCAGATGAGATTAAGAAGTTTGCGGGTATAAATTGGCAGCAGCAAGCACAGGACCGGGTTAACTGGCGGAACACGGGAGAGGCCTTTGTCCTGCAGTGGACGTAGTCAGGCTGATGATGATGATGATGATGAATGTTAAAGGACACAAAAATTTTGCTCCTTGTTTTTTTTTCTGTGATAGGTAGCTTCTGTCCCACTAATCAGTGCTACAAACCTTGTTTCCTTGAGTGTGGGACAGTTAATTATTAATAGAGACGTCCAGTTGCTGAATCGCAGTTTCACAGCTGTGATGTAAGTGCCGCACTGACGGTCTGTTACACCTGCACTTGCTGAGCATTATTGTTGCCACCGCAGAGTCAGTGCCGCAATATCAACAAAAGGTGGTGCTTATTATCTGCCAATGGGCACTGCTAATGAACAGGGGAAGTGAGCACTGACCATACACTCAAGGCTGCAGGTATTGCAAGGCCCATGCCAGCAGCCAGCCAACATAAACTCGGTGCTCTGCATCTAGCTCAGTAGGCCGACATGCACTTCAAGATAGATTTTAATTATGTTCCAGGCTATATATGTCCTTGATATTTCATATATGTGGAGTATATATCTAAATCTTTCTGACTCATTATCTTGCCTTTGAAATTTCGTGTCAGTACTCCTTTAAATTTCATGATCTGTGTGCCTTCTTTAATATATAATTTTACACTTTGGCAAACCTCTTTTAACTTTTTAATAGCCTGAATCATGAAACTGCTGATGAAAAATTGTTCATTTTCCAGCTTTAATCATCACCTTTTGCCTCATTCTTTAGCTAAATTTAAATTGTCCGGAAACTTTAATGCTAACTAATATTATGTCGCTGATTCGCAACAAACTGTTCCTAAGCCAGTATGGGGTTCAATAGAGAGATGTGTCGAAAAGCGAGCCTTGAAAAGACAATTCTTTAGGTGTTAAACCCCACATATCAATCAAGACAATTCTTACCTAGATTATCCAGTGATGACTTTCCATCAATTGTTTAAAAGTGAGTTGACTAGATCGCTTCCACAGAGATGGCGTGATATAATGTCAGCGACCGTGTGAGAACCCTACACTCTGCCGCCTAATATAGTCGACTTCTGGGAAGTATAGAAAGAGTGACGTGAATGTGACGGTGCCGAGAAAGTGATCTAGCTCATCACGAGGCAGAGCCATTCCTTTGTTAGGATTTTTCTCTGTCGCAAAAAGATTGTTCTTCTCAACAATGTGACCCGTGAAGCCTTCACAAAGAATTCCTTGCAATGTTCAATGGGACCTCTGACAAAGTCGCACTAGGGAAGATTGGCTTTCTAATGTGCAATTTCCCACTTTTCTTGATAGCCTTTTTTTTTTCATCATGCTGCATGTTTTAGACAGGCACTTGTTTGTGCATCACGATAGGGATTGATAGTATCGTCCCCACTATCACCAACACAGTTATCGTAGATTTTATCTGCAGGTGGCAAGCACGTGCAAAGCCCTATTTTTCTATGAATTGAGGAGACGTCCATCATCCATCAATATATAACATACGTACTTGTTACACCGGCAGGAACCTGTTACTGACTCAAATGCCATATGTCGCGAATTCGCGACATACCTCAGTAGCGAGGCTCGCGCAATAAAATATGTACTTCAGAACGATGTAATGCAACCTCTTGGACGCGTGCACTCAAATAGAAGATTAAACTTTGGTCACTCAGACAAAAAAGAACAAAGAAGCGAGAGCTGTTGCCCTTGCTTCGCGCACTCTCCCATTAGCTACGAAACATTTGTTTCTATCTTAGAATACCTTACTTGAGATGGCATTGATGTCTTGTGCTGAAAAGTACATACCCTATGAATACATGAAAGCCAGCCCTGAAGGCAGCAGGCACTCCGTGACTTGCTTGCTCGGCATTTTTTGGTATGTCTTGAATTAGCAACACCAGGTAATAAAGGGGTCATACTTAAATTTTGTTATCTGCATTATGTTTTTTTATGTATTAATTTTCCTTTCAGGCCGTTTTGTCCTGTGGTGCACTTGAGAAATGATTGGCTCGAAATATTACTGTGAATGTTGTTTATGAGCTGGGAAACACACTGAACGTATATTTGCAAGAATATTCAGTGGCTTCTGTACAGAAAAAAATTGTGCTGTGGAATAGGAAATATAAGTTGCTTGCACCATGTTTTCAAGCCTGATTCACGAACCACATCTCTATATTGATGTTTTGCTGTAAAGAGCCCTAGCTTTTTTTGTAACATTTTTAAAAGTGTAGTTTTTCTCGGGCTGCACTCCACGTTTTATGTAAAAGTGTTTTAGTGTTAGGAAGTAGCATCGCTAGTTCTCATAATTATGGAATCTTTGAGTCTAATGTATATCCTTAACGCTGTTGCTCTAAATTCAAAACGTGTGCTATAAATTCATATGGCTACATTTATTTATTTATTTATTTATTTACTCTCAGGGCCCAAGGGCATTACAGAGAGGAGTGGGGGTAAAACACTCTACAGGTATACAATGCAGCAGGAGTGTGGTTACACATATGAAACATATTTGAAATATCCACATAAACTGGAAAAAAAAGTAAAGAAACAACAGAAAGAAGAAATCAAAAGGCGCAAAAAAAAAACATTTGCCGTACACGGGAACAACTGAGCAGGATTTACACAAAACCGCGGAATTCGCGGAAAAAAAAATTCAGGTAATATGGCCACTAATAGCCACCTTGAAATTGGCTGGATTAATTATTGAAGCAATGCAGGTGCCAGTTGCACAAGTTATGACTAAATGTGCCAGTACAACTGGCACATTTAGTGCCAGTTGTACAAGTTATGGTGTAACGAAGGGCTTAGGGCCATCAAAACACTATTATCAAGCTTGCACATCATGATGCTTGCAATATAGCCAGGACTTGTGTGTTATGAGTGGTTTTGTTATGAAGGCATTCATTTTAGACTTTTTTTTCTGACAATATTTAATGACATTACAATAAAATCTTATTTGTTTTTAGGAGCTTATGTACATTAGAAGCAAATACTTAATAAGTTATTCATTATTATGCTGTTTTATATATCAACATTGCAGAATACTAAAGCTGTTAAAGCAAAGAAACTATAGGCATTGAAGGCTTGTGTGTCTTCTATGCCTCTGCCTATTCCTAGATTACTGATTCAGATGTGGAAAGGTATTTTGGCTCATTGACAACTATAAACTTTCTCTTCACTTCCAGGAAGCTTTCGCTGACTGTCCCACGACTGGACCAAAAGGCTGCACAGTTGCTGGCCTTATTTGTGCCACAGTGCAAGAGGAGCTTGGTCGAGCTTCGTATCAAGAGCTGCGATGCCATTCCACAAGCTACCCTTGTTACAGTTCTTGCTATGGTGGCGAAGAACACGTTCCTGTCAAAGCTTTCGCTCAGGTGAACTATTGTAAACTAGTTTAAGAACTGGTAATTGAAGCTCTCTTCTAGTGAATTATAGCCGACCGGGGAGGTATTTTTGTGCCCACTTAGGCTGTCATTTGACTCCTGCCCAGTTTGAGCTATTACTTGCTCAGTGTTGAAAAAGGTCTTTGGCGTGTTGGAACCACTGGTTAGGCCAGTAAGGGCAAAGGCACTCATGCTGCGTAGTCCTGTCTTTATCGGTGCCACTGCAACATCATCTCGCTCTCCGAAAAATTATAAGTGCCCGTTCTCAGAAAAATGAAACCTCAATTAAGAGTGTAACATGTTGTCCTGCATCTTGTTATTAGATTGTCAAGGATGTTAGTGTCATAATTATGATGATGCATGCACGGGGAAAGCGTGACACAGCAGAGTTCGGTATGTCGCATATGTGATACATTGAGATACTGTTTGCCCGTGCTTTACGGTTGGCACACACTCAAGCCTCTATTGATATATTTCTTATTCATAGTGTAGTTGTGACTTCATGACAAAACTGACCTGGTGCAGTTTCTTGAAGAGGCCCTGCAACATTTTCTGAGCATGGTCATAAATGCTGGCGATCGGTTGTCGAGGTTCCCGAGAACACGCAAGCCAAATATAATAGCGCAGCGTGTGGCCTGGAATTTACAATAAACTCTCAGTCAGCTAAAAATTGCTTTTTCTTCTTTCAACTAATGCTACGACTAATGCTAACGCTACATACTCAAAAATTACTGTGTCACAGGACAAGTATTAGTGGTTGACTGATTTGAGCAAGGCGGGCTTACTCATTACTGGGGCCGTTGCTGGAGCTTGCAACTTGTTCACACGTGTGTGTGCAATTGCACTGTAAAGAAATGTATTAAAAAAAAAAGAGTACGTAGGAAACAAAAGCTGGGGCCACAGGCTGAAAAGTTCTGTTGACCGGTTGCTGATATCTCTCGAAACAATTATTGATCAGGTGTATGAGGCTTGGAAGGCTGCCCATTGTCTCTTCCTGTCGTGTAATTTGGAAGATAAGAAAAACGAAGAGGCGAGCAAGTTTGTACTGATTTATTATGGCGTAAATGTAGTTAAAAAAGCGAACAAAGAAGGGAACAACACAAGCGCTTGTGGTATTCTTTCTTGTGCTCGTCTGTTTTTTGTGCTACATTTAGGTCGTAATGAAAGATAATATTCCGCAAATGCAGTTTGATTGGCCTTTGATTGCTGCTTGACATTGAATGTGTGTCATGGGTGAAGACATAGTTCCCTTATTAGCCCCCTTCAGGACCTGCCCGAAGAAGGCACTCTAGTGCCTGGGGTGTGGAGGGATAAATGCAGAAGACATTTAATTGAAGATCTAGAAATGATCTAGAGAAGTGAACTGGTGTGCAATTGTGTGCGGCAGTTAGAGGCCACAATCAACTGCAACAGCATGAACACTGGCATCGTGTTTGTACCACCTCTTCATTCCACAAACAGTGTTTTTTTTTGGGGGGGACATGCCAAGCAAAACCAGATGGTCTGTGAGATATTAGTTGCCATATTTACTCGAATATAGGCCGACCCTGATTCTAAGCCGACCCCGCAATGTCCAAAGCCCCCCCCCCCCCCCCAAGAAAAGCTTACTTCAAATGTAGGCCGGACGAAACGGCAAAGACAGCGTTCACAAACAGAAAACATTTATTAAACATGAACATGAAACAAATCGGTTGGTTCATGATGCAAATAACTCAAGAAACATAAAGCCGCAAGTCTTGTTGCATGCGTTTCTTTATCGTTGTTTCTTTCGCGCTGCTTCTAGTTGCATCATAAAGATGCCGCGCTCATTCGGAGATGTCGTCCCTGCTTCACTCGTCGGTGACTTCTTTATCCATGTCTTCCAACAGTGCACAATCTTCGGTGTCATCAAGTGCATTGGATGTACTATATGCCAACATTTATTAAACGAGCGCCCAAGTTCCCGGGTTGTCATCCCACATTGCAGCCCCTCCAGCGACGCGCCACTCCAAAGTCCCGCCTGGCTTGATTGTTGGACGAGGTTTCTTTTATGATAGGAACTATAGTGACACCACATGTTTGGTGCCATTGAGCTACGCCGCACACAGACCACTCGAGGCGCGAGTCAAAATGAGGAACGCGCACCTCAACACTCACCACAATGGTCAAAATGGCACCCTCACGTGTGTGCTTAAGCCAGGTTTTGGCTTGGCTGCTAACTGATATATTGCCGTCTAGGTGGCGCTAATTGTGCACTGCTTTTCTCAATGAAAATGATGCATTTTTCAAAATTCTCGAATGTAAGCTGACCCTGGAGTTTGATGCAAAGAAATTTGAAAAAAAAGCTATCAGCCTAGATTCAAATAAATACGGTATGTTGAACTTTAATAACCACAGCAAGAGACCCGAGAGTCACTTCAAATAGCCCCTTACCAGGTGACACAACAAAATTCTAGTTATACACTGGAAGTGGTACACCCGATACAAAGCATTATGTCAGAAAAATTTTCTAATTGGTTCATCAGAAACTGAGAAAAACAATGTCTTGAGGCAACGCGAAACCATGATGCGAGAAGTTGAGCTTGAAACCTCTGCTGCTCACCCCCGTATGGCCTTCACTAGCCAAATCCTTCCCTGCGCTCTTCGGCATGAGAGCCGGAGGATCGCATGACACATATGCATGAATGCGTCAAGGCACAACATTGTCGCGAGCACATAGCGTGCCAGAGCCAGCCCGAGCCCCCAAGTCCCGAGTGCTATTGTGGCGGTTTGCTCAGCGCTTCATCTCTGCATGCGCTCTCGCCGATCACTTTGCTTTCAACTTATTGATTATTATGAAAGCTGCAACATATGTATCGATGTGAGACTAGCCGTGTGTCGCATGAACATTGTTAGACGTGGGAAGAGAAATTAGCTAAATTAGCGCTAAATGGAATGCGATAGTAAGCTAGTTTCATTCTAAGGGGTGGCGCCTGCTGCACGATGCGCAAAGTGGGAGAACATGATTGCACCCGAAATGGTGGTAGATTACGCTTAACACCTCGATGTAATTCGCTGTGAAAACTAAAAAGAGCACAGTCATCTACATAGAGGAGTGATACGCAGTACTACTGCCATGTAGGTTCCTTCCATCGTGTACACAATTCCCTCATTCTCTGGGTGCACACCCATGAGAAGGGCAAGCAGCATTGAGCTTAAAATTCTACCCATCTTCCCGGTGCTTAGTGTTGCAAATTTTGGCAGACATGATCGTAAATGCTCAGTGTATGCATTGCACTCGTCAGTTCAAAATTATCAAACCTGGTGAAGAGCCCTTTAAGCACAAATGGGTGTACTTAGCGTGCAGCTGGACAATGGTGTACATATTAACTCATCTCCATTTACGTTTCATGTGATAATTGGATAACTTTCCTAAAGTTACCGTCAGTGCATGTTCTCAGAACTCCACTGTGATAGCTATACCAAAACATACAAACCAATTATGAATTTGCACGCCTGCTTGCGCAGGGGCGTCTTCACAAGCAGGCATTTGGTGCGTAGTGACACCACGGACTCGAGCTAATGGGGGACTCTTCTCCCTCTCACGCTTAGCCGTGCGTGGCATAGCTGTGTCTGGGGAAAAGGGAATCCTGGGGGTTGAGCCCACGCTGGGTGATTGTACCTTTAAGGCCCCTCAGGCAACACATCCCTTTGGCTCTGGCTGCATGCAGACGGCACCCCTGGGTTGACACACTGAAGGGAAATCGGCAGTCGCCTTTTCTTGTGTATCTATCCCTACATATTCGTCTTTATCTTTCACTTTCGATGTTTCTTGTCACCTTTTCTTTTCCGTTTACTTTTAAGTTTCCTGGCGGCTAGGGTCAACTTTGTGTAGTTGCGCAAACTTGGGTAAATTATATATGGTTATTGCAGCGATGCATGGCTGGGGTCTTCAAGTGTTCTACCTTGCAGCGTATCCTTGTTGGGCTCAGTGGTGGGTAGCCACCATCGCTGCCAAACGTTATATTCTCTGTAGGGTGCACTTTATCTCCCCACTCTCCGATCACCACGCAAAAAAGTGGCGTACCGAAGAACCCTTCTTATTCCCGAAACCCAAAACAATCCTTCCCCAAATGTCATGTTTACATAGTCAGAAAGAAAATAAAACGGTCCGATCAATTTCACCTTTTCTTGTATCAAAAACATTTACTGAAGCAATTGGCCCAGGGTGGAAATCACCAAGATGGAAAGCGGCAAACTCCTTCTCGAGGACCCTGACAAGCTTCAGTGTGACAACCTCTCCAAACTCGTAGCATTCAGGCACGTCCCTTTATCAGTAGGCCCACACGGATTCATGAACACTGTCCGCGGTGTCATCTCTGATGGTGTTTTTTCGGGACTCTCACAAAGTGAACCATTAGAAGGCTGGCGAGACCAGAATGTAGTTAAGGTAGAGAGAATAATTATTGGACGAGACAATAAGGAAATAATATCCACCAAACAAATAATTATCACCTTAGGTACCAGTGACTTACCAGAATCAATTGAAACTGGCTACTGTAGGCTCAGTGTCAGGCCCTATGTGTGAAATCCTCGTCCGTGCTTCGAATGCCAGTGCTTTAGACATGGGTCACATAGCTGCAGAGGGCGGCCTACTTGCACAAAATGTGCATCCAATGAGCACTTATCAGAAACTTGTACTTCAGCAGTCTGTTGTCAAAACTGTGATGGAGACCTCGAAAGGAGGCCTGTGAAGGAGGCCTACCCAAGATCTTGCCCTACCTGGAAAAGGGAAAAAGAAATCCTTGAGCTCAAAGTAAATTCAATCTGTCCTTCCAAGAGGCACGCAAAGACTTTGCACTCCATCAGTCTAGTCTCTCCTTCGCCGATGTGACGCGCGAGGGCGCTGCGCCACATCTTTCTGTGCCCGCGAAAGTCACACATAGTGTGACCGCGGCCGCGCCGCAAGCTCCCTCAGCTGGAGCAGCCAGTACTGCTTCACCTCCTGGCTCCCCAGTTTGCCAGATCCCGAG